GACGGACGCCTCGGCGTGAGTGACAGGAGAGAGAAGGGTGGGGTGTGAGGGGTGCATGTGCATCTGGTCGTGTCTCTTGTGTGTGCAATGTATGTGTTGTGCAGCCATGGTGCCGACCAAGGAGGAGATTATGGACATGACGGTGAGTAACTTGGTTCACATGGATGGATGGAGTGCATGGCGCTTTGTGTGTGTGTGTGTGTGTGTGTGTGTGTTTTGCAGCAGCACCAGCAGCCGGGGCGGCAGCTGGAAGCACATGTATCGCTGGCTACATTTTATATTCGTAGAGTCTTTTGAAGCCGCCCGGCCTGCCACTACACCCGTCCACACCCATGCACGCGATCTGAGTGGCATAGACCGGCAGACGCATTGACAGGGAAAGATGATTGATACCAATCGCACCCATGCACGGGCTTGATACCGTCCCCATAAACCTATCAACACATGCCCATGCACAGAACAACACGCCCCTGAAAGATAGACCACCAGCCCACAACCACCCATTCCCCAAACCCGCCCACGGCCCCGATCTGACCACCCCTGCATCGTCAACAGCTGGTCAGTCCTTCCCACGCCCTCACGGACAGATCCTCGCAGACGCGTCATCAGGATGGATCGTGTGGACCAGGGAACATCAGCGTCAGTGACTCACTTGTCGAACGATGCATCCCTCTGGATCACCAGGTCCGTCCTGGCCACCTCCCTCGCCTGCCCAAAAGGCCATCCTGGTGACGGCGCCAAATCACGTCCCGCATGCAGCTCGTTGTGTGCACACTGTTTCCAGCTGCTCGCTCTGTCAGGCTGACTGAGTGGCTGGAAGGACCACCTGCCACCACGATAATACCGGGCTGCAGAGTGGAGAAGCCCAGACAAACCACACCACCGTTGCTTCGGCCGTGCCACCGCACAACCTGAAACCTGCAAGACAACACAGATGAAAACGAATCGGCTCTCTTCTTTCGTGTTGCATCCCTGCGGGCCGCCGCGAGTGACGTGCATCCCATCCAAGCATCGGTGGGCTCGCGATCCACATCTGCGCCTGCGAGCTTAACTCACTCGCGAGCTCCTTCGAAGGGCTTTGATCTGGAAGGCGAATTCGACGTGAGCTCACGTGAGATAGATAGATCTGCACGAGGACACTCCAGCTGCCCGTGCGCATGGATGGGTCCAGGGCACACACCTGGTGTTCGTGTTCTTTTCCGTGTGTGTGTCTGTGTGTGCGTGTCTGCAGGTCAGCCATGCCATTCGTGACATCCTGGACGAGAGGGGTGGGCGCGGCGCTGTTGTCGCACAGCCCCTCGACGAGCTTCAGGTTAGTGCCCATGGACATACTCTTTCATTTCGAATGTGTGAATGCGTGTGTATGGCAGCCGGGGGGAGGACGGCCGCCCAAGTCCGTGGCACCGATGGCGGTTTCCCTTCAGCAACCGAAGAGGTGCCTGTCTGCGTCCATTGTGCGTGCATATTCATAGCCTGCTTGTGTGTTTGTCTGCAGGGGCCGCCCACTGCCAGGGGGGCGGCTGGCAGGGGGGCGGCATCGACTTGAGCATCCCAGGTACGTCATTGCGTGGTCCACACGCACACACACGCAATGACGTACCACCCATCTCCCCCACCAGCAGACACACATCCATCCATTTGTGTGTGTGTGTGTGTCAGCTGGCCATGCAACATACAACCTCTACATGCCGGTGACTATCTACCACACAGGCGGACCTGGTGACCTCCCCCCGTATCTCCAAGCGGTGGCCAGCAGCGGGGGCCTCAGCCAAGGCGTTCCCCTCGAGCCCAGCGCTGAAATCAAGATTAAGGTATCCATCTGAGGGGAGGGAGGGAGGGAGGGAGGGAGGGAGAGGCTGATGTGATGTGTGGTTGGCGTGATGTTTTGGTTTTCTCAGCCGATCCGGTCTCTGCTTAGTGTCGGCAAGCCCCAGATGATCATGATGATCTCGGAATTCATGGAAGAAATGAATAAGGTGAATGAGTGAGTGAAGAAAGGACGGAGGCTGTCTGTCTGTCTGTCTGTGGAATGTGGATACCCGTGTGTGTGTGTGTGTGTGTGTGTGTGTAGGGGCTGGCACTGCATGCTGCGGACCCGTCGGCGCACTGGGACGAGAAGAAATGCTGCTTCAAGTGAGCACAGACATCCAGACACCTGCCACTCCTGTCATGTGCCTGGCCGGCTGCCGCCGGACTGCCTGCACATCAATAATTAGGATGCTCGAGACGCACATCGACCACATCCCCACTGGCAGTGAGAAAGGGGTACAAAGACACTCACTCACCCACCCACCCACTCACTCATCCAAGGCACGTACGTCTACGGATGGATGCATGTGCCCGGGCGTGCGCACAGGTGTACTATGCCGTTGACGTGGGCGGGACCAACTTCAGAGTGGTGCGCATCGAGCTCCTGGGTACGTCAAGATGATCAACACTCACGAACACACACATGGGTGCCCACTCGCCTCGGCTGCATGTGCGTGTTTGTCATGTGTGTGTAGGTGACGGCAAGATCGGCAAGACGTCGCGCATCAAGCGAGAGTGAGCTTCCTACCCCGCACAATGATGCACTTTGACGCGTAATGACGGTGTGCATGTCGTGTGTGTCAATCACACCGATCCATCCACCCTTCGATCAGTCTCAAGCAGCTGCCGCCCGCGCCGGAAAAGCCAAAAGGTATGCTCACACACACACGCACACACACACACGAATGAAAGCATTCATTTGTGTGTGTGTGTGTGTGTGCGTGTGTGTGTGTGCAGGTCTGTTGGATGCGTCCGTCAAGCAGAGTGAGTTCTTCGGTTACCTCGCCGACCAGGTCATCCAAGTCGGCAAACACGAGGTGGGTATCTGTGCATCCGTGTGTGTGCGTTTGTATGCGTGTCAACTCGTTCTCTCTCCCTGTCTGTCTGTGTGTGTGTGTAGGGCGACATTGCCGGCGAGGGATTGGAGGGCGAGGCCAGCCCAGTTCTCGGGTTCGGCTTCACGTTCTCGTTTCCGACGCAGCAAGACGTCCGTGGGCTCTCCCTCCCTCACGCACACAGACAGCCATGCGCACATCTGAGTGTGTTGGTGTTGGTGTGGACGTGCAGCAAAAGAACCACGCCATCCTGAGCCACTGGACGAAGGAATGGGACACGGGTCGTGACTACACTGGCACCGACGAGTGCATCGAAGGGAGAGACGTAGGTCACACAAACATACACACACACACACGACAGGCACACGCGTGTTGCTCTGTGTGTGTGTGTGTGTGTGTACAGGTGGGTCAGATGTTCGATGACGCCTTCGCCAAGAAGGGCGGCCACGCAAAGGTGCATGGGGTCATCAACGACACGGTGGGCACCCTGCTGTCGTGCAGCTATGAGAACCCCCACCTGCCGCCCGTCTACATGGTGCGCAAGGCACCAACCACACACACGCACACACACACACGGAGAGAGAGAGAGAGAGAGATGCACCCCTCTCTTTCTGGGTGTGTGTAGGGTTTGATACTTGGCACCGGCAGCAACGGGTGTTACTACGAGCCCAAATACAAGCAGTACAGCTACAACGGGAAGCTCATCAACATAGAGTTCGGCAACTTCAACCGCTCCCTGCCCGAGACCGACATTGACAAACAGGTCACACAGTCACACACACACACACACACACAAACAGAGGCAGAGAGAGCACGCCTGTGTGTGTGTGTGTGTGTGTGTGTAAGGTCGATGCGGATCTGTCCAACAAGGCCGATGTGGGCAGACAGCGGTTCGAGAAAATGGTGAGTGGGCCCACAGCGCCCCCACCCCCCACCCACCATCCAGTGGTGTAGTGTGTTGTGTGTAGGTGTCGGGCAAGTACTTGGGTGAGATCTCCCGGCGGTTCGTGTGCTCCATCATGGCGGACAAACTCAAGGGCACCAAGGCAGAGTACGTGCCACACCACACCACACCATCAATGTGTGTTGATGGGCGTGTGTGTCTGTGTGTGTGGGTGTACGCGCGCAACACACAGGCTGATCGACTCCCTCAAGTCCGAGCATGCCTCCAAGATTGTGCAGGACGAGTCGCAGGTTGGCGACCCTCACACACATCGCTACACATGCTTACCCATTGGTTCTGTGCGTGTGCGCACTCAGAATCTGGAGATCACGTGCTTGACGCTCTTCGAGCAGGTAGCTATGGGGCAGCACAGACATGCACACAGTTGCAGGCACCTGTCTGTCTGTCTGTGTGTGTGTGTGTGTGTGTGTGTAGTGGGGTGTGACGTTTTCCCTCAACGAGCTGCGGGCCATCCAGGAGATATGCAGGCTCGTCTTCGACAGGTACACGAGTTCCGTCAATGCGATGGATGCTCGCCACGCGCACCCGTGTTGTGTGTGTGTGTGTGTGTGTCGACACACAGGTCAGCGTCCTTGGCGGCGATGTCCATAGTGGCGGTGGCTCTCAAGGCAGACAGGATCGGCAGAAACGGTACTCACGGATTGTGGGTGCATTGTGTGTGTGCGTTGTCTGAATGCACGTGTGTGTGTGTGTGTGTGTTCCGTTGTTGTGTGTCAGCCGAGGGGATGACGGTGGCGATCGACGGCTCACTGTACACACAAAACCCATGGTGGGCATGATGGCATGGCACATCCATCCCCCAATGGAGCTTCCCCCCCCCCCC